TGTACTATTTTTTGCTATATCTTTTTTGAAATGGTTAATGTTTGAATGGTTTTTTTTTTGTTAATGCCATCAAAATACTTTGTACTATTTTAGATAAATTATTTACTCTTATATATAAATCACAACCATCATTAATTATGCTTGTGATTGTCAAAAGTTAGGTCCTAGAATTGAGGTTTTAGAAGATTGTACTATTTTTAGGTATTTCTTTCTCAAGAATGGTTAATCTTGCATGGTCTTTATCTTAAGGCACACAAAACACTTTATATTATTTTGGGTCATCTATTTACTCTTACATATAAATCACAACCATCATTAATTATGCTTGTGATTGCCAAAAGTTAAATACCAGAATTGGGGTTTTAAATATATTCTACTATTTTTTGGTATTTCTTTTTCAGGAATGGTTAATCTTGCATAGTCTTTTTCTTAAAGCCTCATGGAATACCTTATAGTATTTTAGGTTAACTATTTAGTCTTACATATAACTCTTATATATAAATTACAACCATCATTACTTATGCTTATGATTGCCAAAAGTTAGATACCAAAATTGAGGTTTCACATAGATTGTACTATTTTTTGGTATTTCCTTTTTAGGAATGATTAATGTTGCATGGTCTTTTTCTTAAAGCCACACAGAATTCCTTTTATTATTTTGGGTCATTTATTTACTCACATATAAATTACGACCATCATTAATTATGCTTGTGATTGCCAAAAGTTAGGTACTAGAATTGAGGTTTCACATAAATTGTACTATTTTTTGTTATTTCTTTTTAGGAATGGTTAATGTAGCATGGTTTTTTTCTTAAGGCCACACAAAATACTTTGTATTATGTTGGGTCAACTATTTACTCTCACATATAAATCACAACCTTCATTAGTTATGCTCCCAATTGCCAAAAGTTAGGTACCGGAATTGAGGTTTCATATAGATTCTACTATTTTTTGGTATTTCAATTTTAGGAGTGGTTAATGTCGCGTGGTCTTTTTCTTAAGGCAACACATAATACATTGTATTATTTTGGGTCAACTATTTACTCTCACATATAATCACAACCATCATTAGTTATGCTCCAAACTGCCAAAAGTTAGGTAACAGAATTGGGGTTGCACATAGATTGTGCTATTTTTTGGTATTTCTTTTCAAGAATGGGGTTAATGTAGCATGGTTTTTTTCTTAAGGCCACACAGAATACTTTGTATTATTTTGGGTCAACTATTTACTCTCACATATATATCACAACCATCATTAGTTATGCTCTCGATTGCCAAAAGTCAAGTACCAGAATTGGGGTTTCACATAGATTGTACTATTTTTTGGTATTTCTTTTTCAGGAATGGTTAATGTAGCATAGTCTTTTTCTTAAGGCCACATAGAATACTTTGTATTATTTTGGGTCAACTATTTACTCTCACATATAAATCACAACCATCATTAGTTATACTCTCGATTGCCAAAAGTTAGGTACTAGAATTGGGGTTTCACATAGATTGTACTATTTTTTGTTATTTCTTTTTTAGAAATGATTAATGTCGCATGGTCTTTTTGTTAAGGCCACATAGAATATTTTGTATTATTTTGGGTCAACTATTTACTCTCACATATAATTCACAACCATCATTACTTATGCTCATGATTGCCAAAAGTTAGGTGCCAAAATTGGGGTTTTGCATATATTGTACTATTTTTTTGGTATTTCTTTTTCATGAATGGTTAATCTCGCATTTTCTTTTTCTTAAGGCTACACAAAATACTTTGTATTATTTTGGGTTAATTATTTGCTCTTACCTATAAATCACAACTATTATTAATTATGCTTTTGATATAAATCACAACCATCATTAATTATGATTTTGATTGCCAAAAATTAGGTAGCAACATTGGGGTTTCACATAGATTGTACTATTTTTTGGTGTTTCTTTTTCATGAATGATTAATGTCCCACGATCTTTTTCTTAAGGCCACACAAAATACTATGTATTATTTTGGGTCAACTATTAATTCTTACATATAAATCACAACCATCATTAATTATGCTCGTGATTGCCAAATGTTAGGTACCAGAATTGGGGTTTCACATAGATTGTATTATTTTTTGGAATTTCTTTTTCATGAATGATTAATGTCGCACGATCTTTTTCTTAAGGCCACACACAGTACTTTGTATTATTTTGGGTTAATTATTTACTCTTACATAGAAATCACAACCATTATTAATTATGCTCACGATTGCCAAAAGTTAGGTCCTTCAAAATAAAAAAAAAAGGATCAAACTT